GGCACAGGAGTCGTGTAGGCTCCCTGCACTCATTGCAGCAATTATTGCCTTCATTTTTTCTTTTTCCTTTTTAAGGAAAAATCATCTTTGGAAGGAAGGAATGAGGATAGGGAGCAAAAGCATGCGAATTAAGTTCTATAAACCACTGATGTAATTTCTTTTTTTGAAACGATCCCTAAAGAGATGCCAAGCTTTGCCATCATATTGCAACTCTTCAGTAGCAGAGCAGCTCTCGGGGCGCAGTGCTGAGGGTCAGAAGTGTTTCCCTTCGGGAGGAAGGGGGCTGCAGAGGGATGCTCTCATCCCCGGGGAGCCATCTGGCTCGGTTGGTTTGTACCGCACCAAGGGGAGGATGGCTCAGGCTGGTACTAAAATCCAGGACAAAGGCTGGGGAGGTTTGCGGGTGTGTTTGGGCGAGGGTGAAGGAGGAAGCGGGGAGCAGCACAACCCCTGACCGGCGGCCGCAGGAGGGGTTTTGCTCAGGTCTTCATTTTCGTTTGGCTGGGCTGGGCTTTGTTTGGTTTCAAGCCGCTGTTAGATGTGAAGGTGTTTCCTGAGGAGCTCCCCCAGCCCCTGCTGCACCCATCGCTGCCGCTGAGGTGCCCGTAAGCTCCAGCCTGGAGTTCAGCCTCCCAGAAGCATTTCCAAATATAAACCGTTCGAAATGCACCGGAACCCTCAAAAGAACAGAGAGAGAGAGACTCTCATTAACTGAACTTCCCCGTGCGTGCCGCCGTGCGACGCTGGTGTGCCTGGGGGGCGACGAGCGGCGGGGAGGGGGCTGCTTGCTGCAGATGGCCAAGAGGGGCCAATTTGATTTTTAATGCTTGTTATTTTTTAAATCCGGTTAACTTCCCTGTAGCAGGTTTGGAGGGGGGGGCGGGGAGTGGTGGTGGTGGTGGTTGGGTTTTTTTTGTTGTTTTTGTTCTTTAATAAATGGAAGGAGAGCATTTTCCTGCTGGAGGAGCGGCGGGGAGGGGGCTGCTTGCTGCAGATGGCCAAGAGGGGCCAATTTGATTTTTAATGCTTGTTATTTTTTAAATCCGGTTAACTTCCCTGTAGCAGGTTTGGAGGGGGGGGCGGGGAGTGGTGGTGGTGGTGGTTGGGTTTTTTTTGTTGTTTTTGTTCTTTAATAAATGGAAGGAGAGCATTTTCCTGCTGTGTTTGCAGAGCTGGAAAGCAGTTAATCCTTGCCCTTGGTTTCTGTGCCATTGCTGCCTGCGCTGGCATGGAGGTTCCCTGCACCGCAGTCACATGCCTGCTGGCCGCCGGCCAGGGCAATCTGATCTCTCTCTGAGGAAACACTATCAGTTGCAGATGCAGCCAGGGTTACCAGAATAGTAAATAACGAATCACAAGACTCGGTCTATCTTTTCAACGAAAACAAATATTTTAATATGTTGGTTTTTTAGTACAGAAGTAGTTTCTTTTTTCAAAACAGCCGAGCTGCAAGGGGCTTGGCTTGGGTTAGTTTGCATATGAAGGAGAAATAAGCTGTATTTTACATTAAGTTGTTTGATTTCTCTTCAGCTTCTAAGGTCAGCTGTGGCTGGGGGGTGTTACGTTTCAGTACGTGTTTTGGGCTTTGAGACTCATCGAGCTTTGAAGTCCCTGGACTTGGGGTTTCTCCCTTTCCTTGGGCCTCTTTAACATCCACTCCAGTTAATGGGCTGTGAACAGAAAGCTTTCCCTTGGTAATCCCACCTCTAGTCCCAACTTGCTACTGCCCAGGCAGGAAATCCCGGTGCCCCGAGAGCGCTGGGCTGCTGGAGACCCTCCGGATCCCCCGCGGTGCGGCAGTGCCGGTGTCCCCCGGCTGCACGCCCCACTCGTGTCCAACCTGGCAGGGCTGTCGTGCCCAGGTCTGTAATCGGGCTCTGCCTCCCTCCCAGGAGGGCAGCAGCGGCAGAGGGTTAATGCAGAGCAGCTCTGAGACTTGACCTTCCCCCTCTCCAGCCCGTGGACTGACTTCTGGCTTTCCCATCGTGCCCGTGGCAGTGGAGTGTCTGAAAATCTAACCTTTGAGGAATTGATTTTGACTATTCTGAACACACAGGGTGGATTTTGTATTTAACGAAAACTGGTAGAAAAAATAAGGCAGAAAATGTCACTGCTCCCCTCACCCCCTTTCTTCTTGAGCAGTCCCAGTGACTTGGGCACGGTCACCTTCGCCGCCCTTTGGGGAGCTGTCTGGGGGTCTTGTCACCACAGAGCTGCCTTCTTCCCTGCGGAACAACCAGGGAATAACTCCTTCCTCCTCCCAGTGCCCCTCGTGCCGGCGCCGTTGCGTGCTGCTCTGCTGCTGACGTGCCGGGCTCTCGCTTCCTAGGGAGTTTCACTTTAAACACTAAACCACGGAAGATTTGGCAGCTGCTGCCCGAGTGTGTTTGCCTGCCTGACGTGCACAGCCATCGCTTTACTGCTGGAAGTGTCGATAAATTTTTAGACCAACATATCCAGAGAAGATCCTTATAAATCGTGTGTGTGTAGGTACACATAATAATGGGATAATGTAAATCTTTGTCTTGAAAAACAGAAAGATCTCTTCTAGAAAAAGCAGTGCCTTAGCTGGGGAGAAGCCTGAATTGATCCGTTGTTTCCTTTGCTGGTTTGGGTTTTTTCAGGCTTACATTTTTACTGCAATGAAAATACAGGTTCCCACGGCGTCATAACGTAGGCATTGTGCTTAAAACAAAACTCAGATTTGGTTTAGATTTTGGAGGAGTTTAACAGTAGTCTGTGGGGTTTTAATCTGGTGTTTTACTGCTGAGCCAAAGTTTTAATCATACATTCACTGTCCTCTGTAGAGGCAAAAAGGACGCGGGTAGGCACGTAATCCTTTAAAGAGTGGGGTAGCTTTGACTCTTGTACGCTTTACTTAGAGCTAAAGAAGTAACCTGGTCCCCCTCTCTACTAATCCAGGCTTTGGTGGGTTTGGCCTGGAGAAGACACCTACTTTTTAAAGCAAGGAGGACGTTAAGGTATTTTTATAAGTCAGGTACACATAAACTTGCCCTAGTCATAAACCAAGCAGAACTATGGAGGATTTACATGTTTTGGATGGAATGGAGAGAAAACAGGGAGATAACAAGAAAAAAAAATCCATTTCTTCTGCCTTCGGAGCAGGGCAGCTCTTGCCTTTTGACAGTGGATGCTACTGCGCTTGGGATCAGTTCAGGTACATGCAGGAAGAATCTGAACTCTGCGAGGCAGAAGGGTGAATTCATGCTATTTTAATGAGCAACATGGTTTGGATAAGGGCTGAGGAGAGAAATTTTGTTTCTGATAGAAATGACAGCTGGAACGAAATGTTGCAGTAAACTCTCTGAATAGGGATCTCTGCTTTTTGTTATTTTGTTCAGTCTTCTGGATTTCTTGTTTTCTAGAACGACCATTTGCAATCTCTACACGATGCCACGGATTGGGGAGCCTGTCTGGCTTACTATGATGTCGGGGACGCCAGAAAAGAACCAGCTTTGCCATCGCTTCATGAAGGAATTCACTTTCTTGATGGAAAATGCTTCTAAAAACCAGTATGGTGGATTTTAGTTTTTACATTACATATGTGTTTATGCCTTTGTATTTCAAACCAATTTTTTTTGAATCTGTTTTCAAAATCCGGGTAATCAAAGAACCAAAACACCGTCCATAAATAATCTTCTTTCTAAAACCAAAAAGAAGTGAGAAAGTATCTCTTTAAATGCCTGCTTCCCCGCAATCCTCTCAATCTTGGTAGAGGCTAAACATTTGAAACATGTCCATAGGAAGCGCGTGATGGGTGTGTATGTCTGGAAGGGGGTGAACATACCTTATGAAATGCATTAATCTACCTTTCAAAATCAGTTATCATATGATGAGCAAGGTTAGACATTCAGTAAGAGCTGTGTCTGTAATACTGTCTGACCGCAAATTGCTCTTAAACCTGACTTCTGTAAAATGCCACTAAAGAAATTGTGTGCTTCATTAGTACTCACCTTTCTGCCCTCAGGACAACGCCATGAGTGGCTGTTAAAAATTGAGAAAGGGAATGTTCTTGATAAACTCAGGAGAATCTGATAAATTTACTCTTTTGTCAACACTTCATCCTCTTTCCCCAGGGCATGAATAGGGGAAGTTTTAAAGTGTTTGGCTCCGTTTAAGTTCCTAAAACGAGCACAAACACGTGAAGTTGGAGTGGGAATGGCACTGAAAGACCAGCTGTTGGCTCCGGGGAAGCTGCTCTCTGCCGGGTGGGGAAGGGGCGGTCACAGGGGAAGGGGCTGCTGCTCACCGCCTTCCAGCTTTGCCATCAGATGGGAGGGTGACAATTAGCGGTCAGAACGGTCCACCTTCTCCTGCCTCAGTGCAATGGGAGAAAAACCACAGGGAACTGCGTGGGGCTCAAATGTATTTTCTTAAAATCAGTTCCCACTGCAGTGGAAGCTTTTTCCTGGGATTAGCACCTTTGGTCCCTGCCATTCTGAGCCCTACACATCTTGGTTACATTTAAATGGTCATTTGTTTGGGTTTGCTTGCTTGCTTTACTTTAAATATAGTAAGATTTACACTGATGGAAGCAAGAGGAAAATCAAGCCCCATATCCTTTTCAATCCAGTTTTAAATCTCCTTTCCTCCTCTGGCTGTCTCCAGTGAGGAAATGAGGCTAGATTTAAACTCTAGGGTTCCTAATGCTTGTAAACTATTCAAATAGCGTTATTTTGAGGCTTGGTTTGACTGTTTTCCTCCCCGGGTA